GTGGCATGTTAGTGTTAGCATAGACACACTTCCTGTATGTTATATCAGTTTATAGGCGTGGCATATTAATGTTGGCATAGACACACTTCCTGTTTGTTATATCAGTTTATAGGTGTGGCATATTAGTGTTGGCATAGACACACTTCATCTATGTTATATCAGTTTATGGGTGTGGCATATTCATGCTGGCATTATTTAAGACACACACTTCCTGTATGTTTTCTCAGTTTATGGGTGTGGCATATTAATGTTGGCATAGACGCACTTCCTGTATCTTAGGTTGGGTAGTCTCGTGGTTAAAGCATATGCTCGTCACGCTGAAGGCCTGGGTTCAATTCCCCACGATAGTACAATGTGTGAAGCCCATTTCTTGTGTCCCCTGATGTGATATTACTAAAATATTGCTAAAAGCAGCATAAAACCATGCTCACACTCACTCACTCACTCACTCACTCACTCACTCACTCACTCACTCACTCACTCACTCACTCACTCACTCTGATGTCGTGATATTTGCTACAAGTGGTATTAAACCATACTCACTCACTCCCTCCTGTACCTTGTGTCAATGTTGGGTATACTATAGGTTATGGTTGAGGTCTCATAATTTACTTAATATTTCATGTAAAGTTTGCCTAGTGAGTAGAATGCAGATGTTACCACGTACTGTTTGTGTCTGGTGCTGTCGCAGGTCGACCTGTTTACAGTGCATCTCACTCTGCAGATAATACTATAACATTTAATTGAGCAGAAAGTTGAAGTGCACACAGGCGTGGCGACGACTGGCATGTGGTACATTTCCGTTCAGACCTTCGCATGCACATCAAATGCTGCATTGTGTGCACACCAGGCAGGTGCATGCTGGGTCATGTGACATATGCACAACAGGTCATGTGATCTACACATTCCTTTGTTTGATGTGAAATAGTTTGCTGTGTGTTTGGCTGAAGTGGAACACTGTCACATATAACTAATCCTGGGGCAGACTTTGTCACAATGGTCCAAGGGACATAATTTAGGTTTACACACTGTGCCAGGAAGGTTCAACATTCACAACATCAAAGTATCTGTATGGATTGTGGGACCTGCTTGTCGTAAGAGGCGACTAACAGGATCAGGTGGTCAGGCTTGCTGACTTGGTTGACACACATCATTGTGTCCCAATTGCGTAATTGATGCTTATCCGATGATCACTGGATTGTCTGGTCCAGACATGATTATTTTCAGATTAGTGCCATATAGCTGGAATATTGCTGAGTGCGACAAACCAACAACAACTCAAGCTTATCAAATAGGTTTGGACATTAGAAAATTTATGTAGTCAAGGAAAACTACTTGGTTTGTCTTAGTACTTAATCTTAGTACTTAATGACAACTTCCTGGCAAACTGTAAAATTGTGTCATTTTCAGCTTGTAATTGAAATTCAAACTTATTGCGTAATAATTCTCATGTTTGTATTTGGGGCGGTGGGGTAGCCTAATGGTTAAAGCGTTGGCTCGTCACATCGAAGGCCCGGGTTCAATTCCCCACATGGGCACAATGTGTTAAGCCCATTTCTGGTGTCCCCCGCCGTGGTGATGTTGCTGGAATATTGCTAAAAGCGGCGTAAAACCAAACTCAGTCAGTCAGTCAGTCATGTTTGTATTTATGTCATACAAAATCTATATTGACAATCTGTCCCAGCTTGATATCCAACAAAAATAATATCTGTTATCTGTTTCCTCACTACACTAACCACTATATCGCAGCCTCATTGTCCAACAGTTAGAACTGCCACTGAAGCTTAGTTGAAAGATAGAGTCCAACTTCATGACATCAGGAGTAATGGTTCGGGGATATATTTAGGCATCACCAGAAGACATTAATCCTTGAACTGTATTGGCGCTGGATGTATTGATGCATGTCGGAATGTGGTATAGCTCTGGATGTAAACACCACAACAATGTGGCCATACAAGGACTCCTGTTCAGCTGCCCATGGCATATTAAACATTGAACACATACATGTGGAGTGAGAACAGGAATAATCTACCCGATTAGTTTCCTACATGCTTCGACAGACATGCACAACTGACAACCGTGTTTGTGATGGTTTAACCAACATGTTGTAGCCAGGGGTTAGAGGTGGACCTGTTGACTTCAGTGATCGTGTATAGACTGGGCGTGCTTTAACATTGGAAAATAAACTTGCACCAGGCTGCTTGAGTTCAAAGTCAGAAACTCCCTCCCACAAATATTGTATCCCCATCTCACTGACTTGTATTCTGATGCAGTAGCCCTTTCTCCCTTCTGTTCTATATTCTTCTACTTTAGCCACATAACTTATATCCTTTATCCTAAAGCTGTAGATCTATATGTTCTATCTGTTATTCTCCTATTTTAGCACTATCATCTCTGCCCCTTATTCTCATGATGTAGCCCTATCTGCTCTGTCCCTCAAATTATTTTTTTAAAACCCTGGCTACCATATATTATTAATAAATGAAGAGCATGTTATCAGAAATCAAGACCCTTGTTTAAAAAAAAGTTGACTAAGACACAAACCAAAGGAAATGGGATGCGATTGGAATTCCGCACAAGGTGCTTCTACTAACTGTGACTGACCCGATTCATGCCTTGCTATTAGAGCTGGTGTAACGCCAGTTTTCCAATGTGAGGAAGAATCCCCCATGACGAAGACGTTATGTAAAGTGTGGTTCCAGTGCCAAGGATGGTTCACGTGTGGCTTGTGCGATTATCTACCAAGCTAATAAATATTCTCAGAGCTCTTTCCGCTGACGTTTCCTAGAGGTCAGGCGAGGAATTTAGACTCTAGGGTGAGACCAGGTCACCTGTACCTTATCATCAAAGAAGTGTATGACACGTTAGCTGGCTTCAGTGTTATGGTGCTTAACCCAGCTCCTGAATATGGAACCCAGTCTCAGCTCCCGAACATCCATCAAGGGGGTTGAATGTGATATATTTCAGTGTTTTTAGGTTGACTGTTTCACATTCCAGACATGTTTGTTATAGAAATATTTTCTGTGTGAAGAGGTATATCTCTCAAAGCTAAGACGATTGCTCTATTTGTCATACCTACAAAGCAAAATATAGAATCAAATAACAGATTTATAGTCATGAACAAGTTTTGGATTTTTTTAATTATCTGAGTTAACAGGGTCACATCATGTTCCTTCTCAAGTGCACATTCTATCTTTTAAACAGCCCAAGTTTTAAGACGGGGGAGAAAAAGTAACATATTTTGTCTTTACTGTAAACAGGTTTCCATAATGTATAAATCCTGTCACCCAAACTACATGTACTCTTTTATGGCCTAGCAGATCTTGTTATATCGGTTTTTAACATTATCTAGGGGAAAATTAAATAAAATTGACTTCATGTCTAAATTAATAATACAGATAAAAGGACAGCTAAAGGTATACTTAACATACAGCTTAAGGTTTTCCTAAAGGACAGCTAAAGGTATACTTAACATACAGCTTAAAGTTTTCCTAAAAGACAGCTAAAGGTATACTTAACATACAGCTTAAGGTATACTTAACATACAGCTTAAAGTTTTCCTAAAGGACAGCTAAAGGTATACTTAACATACAGCTTAAGGTTTGCCTAAAGTACAGCTAAAAGTATACTTAACATAGAGCTTAATGTTTACATAAAGTACAGCTAAAGGTTTACCTAAAGTACAACTTAAGGTTTACATAAAGTACAGCTAAAAGTATACCTAAAGTACACCTGAAAGTATACCTAACTTACAGCTTAAGGTTTACCTGAAGTACAGCTAAGAGTATACCGAAAGTACAGCTTAAGGTTTACCTAAAGTACAGCTAAAGGTTTACCTAAAGTACAGCTTAAGGTTTACCTAAAGTACTGCTTAAGGTTTACCTAAAGTACAGCTACAGGTTTACCTAAAGTACAGCTTAAGGTTTACATAAAGAACATCTAAAAGTATACCTAACGTACAGCTTAAGGTTTACATAAAGTACAGCTAAAGGTATACCTAAAGTACAGCTTAAGGTTTACCTAAAGTACAGCTAAAGGTTTACCTAAAGTACAGCTAAAGGTTTACCTAAAGTACAGCTAAAGGTTTACCTAAAGTACAGCTAAAGGTTTACCTAAAGTACAGCTAAAGGTTTACCTAAAGTACAGCTAAAGGTTTACCTAAAGTACTGCTTAAGGTTTACCTAAAGTACAGCTACAGGTTTACCTAAAGTACAGCTTAAGGTTTACATAAAGAACATCTAAAAGTATACCTAACGTACAGCTTAAGGTTTACATAAAGTACAGCTAAAGGTTTACCTAAAGTACAGCTTAAGGTTTACATAAAGTACAGCTAAAAGTATACCTAAAGTACACCTTAAAGTATACCTACAGTACACCTGAAGGTATGCCAAAAAGTACACTTAAAAGTAGACCTAAAGTACAGCTAAAGTAGACCTAAAGTACAGCTAAGAGTATCCGAGATAATACAGCTAGAAGTATACCTAAGGTGCCTGACTCTGAGAGTGTGGGTTCGATTCCTGGATGCGATTCAACCCAACAAAAGTACTAGAATTTGTACTGTACTGATAAAGTGTAATCCCAAACATAACATATGTTATGCTCTCTTTATCTGTAGATGTATTATTTTGTACTAGCCCATTAATTCTTGCAGTGATAAAGGGTGATTGGGTATCCTTGTGGTTAAAGCATTCGCTAGTCTCACCAAGGACCTGGGTTCGACACCCCACATGGATGTGGGGAGCCCATGTCCACTGCCGGGATATTGCTGGAATAATTGGCGTAGACCTATATTCACTGACTTTCTAAATGTGATGCTTTATCATGGCACTAAGTATCACAACGGATGCGTACATTGGAGGTTAATGACACAATTAAGATGGGAAATATTCTCTAGTTTAATCATGGTAACAATTGGAAAATTGTCTGATAATTACTTGTGATCAAGATAACTGTTAGATAGCAACAACAGACCAGGCAGTGTAGTGACATTTCTGTTTCAGTGCTGTCCGAGGGCGACATGCCTCCCGACACAAGTTCCCAACAGACGTCTCTGATGGAGAGAATCAGCATCAGTAGCCCTCCTGGAACATTCCAGTTTGATGTGGACGACTCCTCCCCGTCCCAGACCGACCAGTGTTTCCCTCCCGATGCCAAGAAGGCCAAGAAAGGTGTGGGCATCGCTGGCAAGAGCATCGAGGAGGAGTTGTGTCGTATCTGCGGTGACCGAGCCTCGGGATACCACTATAATGCCCTTAGCTGTGAAGGCTGTAAAGGTGAAGGTCAACTTGCTTCAGTTCAGCAGAAATATATAAACTAGAATACCTTTCATGTAAAACACCCTTTGACCAGGTGCATATTAGAGACTTTTAAACATTACTAACTAGCTGTCATCCCAATCTGTAACATTTTCATCTTTGGCCAGAAGCTCCTCTCAGTCTGGGCCCGTGAGGTAGCCTAGTGGTTAAAGTGGCCGCTCATCAAGACAAAGATTGGGTCAATGTGTGAAGTCCCAGACCATAATAGTGAGGGAATATTACTTAAAGCAGCATAAAACCATGCTCACTCACTGCTTCACTGACTCGTGTTTGTGTGTTTGAGAGGCGGTGGGGAGCCTAGTGGTTAAAGCGTTCGCTAGTCACGCCGAAGACCCGGGTTAGATTCCCCACATGGGTACAATGATGTGTGAAGCCCTCTTCTGGTGTCCCCCGCCGTGATATTGCTGAAATATTGCTCAAAGCTGCGTAAATCTAAACCCACTCACAATCACTCACTTATGTGTTTGAATGTTTGGTTGAACCTGTCTCAGACATTGCACTGGACATGATGTGTACAAATGGTCACCTTGGTGACATGTAACTGTAATCTCCCTGTTTCCCCAGGTTTCTTCCGGCGCAGCATTACTCGGGGTGCTACCTACACGTGTAAATATGGCGGGAACTGTGAGATGGACATGTGGATGCGGCGGAAATGTCAGTGTTGTCGGCTACGGAGGTGCAAGGAAGTTGGGATGAAGGAAGAATGTATGTGTAATGTCATTGCCACAAAGAAATAACAATACATTGACAAACAGTTTGTCTATTTGCCAGAACCTGTGTTTGTTAAGTTTGATAAGTGCAGTCCGATTTCATTTGTAACAGATTACATTGATCAGAGGTGTAATAGAGCTGAAAAGTCTCTTAAGGGATCGCTGAAAATCGTTGATGACAGCTGGTGTTTACACGAAGAGAATTAATGAAATCGTTAATCCAGAAGGACATTTCCATGTTATGTTACATTATATTGACTACTAGTCCAAAGTTATGAATACACAATCCCATTTAGAAAGTGGTCAAATGTAACATGTGATATATATTGGGATTACACTTTCTTCTTTAAGTACAGATTTCAGTACTGTTGTTGGGTTGTCCCATCTGGGATTCAAACCCATACCCTCAGAGTCAGGCACCAGCACACAAAGCCAGCCGCTTAACCCACTTGGTGGTGGCTGAGCGGGTTAGGAGGCTGACTTTGTTTGCGGGTGATTAGGTGCTGAGGGTGTGGGTTCGAATCCCGGATGGGACTCAACCCAACAAAAGTACTAAAGTACTAGGACATAGAAAAAAAATGGGTTTTTTTCACATTTATATCTACAATTTAGGTAGTTGATATGTGAAAGTGTGAAATTCCTGTTGAACTAAGTTCGGCCTAACTACAGTCTCACTGGCAGGGAAATAGGGAATGTTAAAAAGGGATTTTACTGAGGAGATATTAGTGCAGAATGAGCAATACGGGGTTTTTCAAAGTCCCAAGAGACTTATTTGGAGCAGGCCATGGCTTTATGCAAATTAGTGTGCGATGATATTGTATAACAAATGACACTTTTTGAATGCCCATTTTGAAATTAGACTTAGCTTCATAATAAACGATAGCAGACGTAAAAAATAACAACTTTAATACTGAAACTATTAAGGATATAGATACCATTGAGTCTCACTATCACTATAAAAAGAAACAGGTAGGAGGGGTGTTGCTGACGGTAGTTGGGGTCGGCCTTGGGGATAGAGATATTAGCTAAGATTAGATAATCTTTAGAGACATATTAAATACACATGAAAAAGCATAAAGATATTTGAGATGACCCCTTGTGTCTGTGGGCATCACGTGCATTTCATGCCAAGTGAGTTGACGGTCCGTCGTCATACCTGGCTGAGCGACCTAATTGCCATCTATAGTCTGATCTATTGTTTTCAGCAGCTGTTCGTATTTTTTCTAAGTTTTGCCCGATTTTACGAGTAAACATGCTTTTCTGGATATCCTATTACGCATCCCACTGAACGCCCAGTTAGGCTGATGTGGGTTATTTCGACATATGCTATTTGCAATTGTGAAAATTTTAGGGATACAGAGTAACAGCCTAAAAACAGTTTTTTTTCTATTTCCGACAGTACTTTAGAATCTGTACTTTACTGAGAAAGTGTAATCCCAAATATAACACATATATTGTGCACAGCTGATTGCTATTTCCGGCTTTGTGTACGAGACAAATACGCACGGTAATCTTTATTAATTTATAGAGCAAAAACTGTAACTAAAATTACACAATGCTAGGATATATTTCTTTGGGTTAAATAACGGTATTCTGTATTATATTTTACTGATGACTGCGTCAGAATTCGTCCCGTTATATTATTGTGCATGTTTGAACTTGTTCGCCGGGAAACGTGTGCACAGCTGATTGCTATTTCCGGCTTTGTGTACGAGACAAATACGCACGGTAATCTTAATCCCTGCAAATAAAACAATGCCCAGCAAAAACAACTTATAACTTAAATGGTAATTAATCTTGTCTAGTGATGTTTAATTGCAAATTTGACGTCTCTACTGACAAAGTCGTCTTGTGTTGTTTGTTCGCGCGAAGTGATACGATGTTGTTTTCTTACCCCTGGAAAAAAGTTTGTCGAAAGTGTAACTCATGGATAAGACGACCCCCTTCTACAGACTGCTTTTTTTGTTCCTCAAAATTCGGCTTATAGACGGTCATATACGGTAGTCCAAAGTTAGCTGGACATTTGATGAATTTATGTTATTATATGACAGGTAGATTTCCGCCCTTCTGATTGGCCCGCTTTGTCACATGACAGCTTTGATGCTAAGCAATGTCACTCTCGCTACGTTGCGATAGGTTGATATAACAATCCAAGCACCTCCCGTGGCTAAAAATAGATTTTTGGATATTCCAGCTGTGAACTCTGCACTGCGTGCGTTACGGTAAATAAGAAAGCGATAGGCAATGCTTCGTCCCTGTGACTGTGTTGGTTTAGAGTTATATCCCATCTGTATCTAACTGGCAGACCACAAAGATTCAAGACTGTGTCAGTACTTTTGTCATATAATAAAACAATTATTGACTTCAGTTCGGTTGATTCAATGATTTATCGACCTTGGACATGTCCAAGGTCAATAATTCGCCTCAGTGAATATCACATGTCCAAGGCCAATAAATCATTGGATCAACCTCACTAAAAGTCAATAAATGTATATTATTAAGTGTCTGACAGTTGAGACAGAATATATAGCACTTGTAATAAGTAAATGATATTACACATGCCTACCTTTCATCATCCAGGCCTTTTGTCCGAAGAGCAGTGTAAGGCTCGGGACGCCCGGTGCAAGGCCAAGTCACGAGTACCACAGATCCCCACGAAGGCCGAGAGTCCAGACGGGAACAGCTTCTCCCCAGACTCAGATACCCGATATCAGGAGTTCAAGCCAGACATCAACATTCTGCCTGGAACTGCCATTCTCATGGATAATCCTCTTACAAAGATTGGCAATGAACAGCGGCTTTTAATTGAGAAACTGTGCCGGCTTCAGGATAAGTTCGAGTTTCCAGATGAAAAGGATGTTGTCAAGGCAACGGTAAGCTGAAACAGGAGGGTTTTAGCTTACGTAGGTTTGTGTCCAATGATGATCATATAATTTGCTATGGCAGTTCTTATGGTTTAAGGGTGGTTGGATAGCCTAGTGGTTAAAGTGTTCGCTTGTCACACCGACAGCACGGGTTTGATTCCCCACATGGGCACAATGTGTGAAGCCCATTTCTGGTGTCACCCGCCGTGATACTACTGAAATATTGCTAAAAGCAGCATAAAACCATACTCAGACAGTCCATCTTGTGGTTTAAGAGTCATGGTTTAGAGTCTGTCCTTGAGATCCCATGGATATCTTGGCAAAACAGGATCTGCAGTATACCATCTTTGTTGAACTAGTGGTGTTCCGTTTAATTGAAAATATCGAAGATTGATCGCAGTGAGCAAACAACCAAGCAATCGATCACATTTTCTCATAATCGAACATAAACGATTTTGGAACTACCGTTTTAGAGTTTGAAACACTTGATGATGGAACATATCTTAGAAACTGTCAGGGCCTGAAACATGTTTAATTCTTAGAAAACTCACTTCACTAACTGAAAAGTCATGACTGAATATTTCTTGGAGACTCAAGGAAGTTTATGTTCATGATATATTAGTCATCACTTTAAAGTAGCAAGTTGTATCATTTTACATTGTATGTGATGTTTCGAAAACAATAAACAACAGAGAACCACGTTATACCTATCTGCAATAACAACCTGAATAGGAAAATCTGAAGCTAACCAATTTTTTTTGATGATTGCTTGTTGGTAATGAACCAATCATCAATTGTGAGATTTCAACCAATTCCCACAACTACGTTGAACTGAACTAAATGGTTATTACATGGCATATGATTGTTACGTCATTGTGTTCTGTGCCAGAAGACAATATTGTGTCGGTCTGTCGTGTATTATTGAGAATGTATTGTTAGTAGGGGTTACCTCGAGGTCACAGGTGTCCCTGCAGCATAAGATGGCACAATTCATTGTGCAGTGTTATCTCCCCTAGCTTTGCCAGGATTCACTGACTCTAAGTTGACAACCATTTTATAGGCTTCATAGTGTCATTAATGTATTCATGTATATTCCACCAAAGGGAAACCATGCTCTATGAATAGTCAACTTCTTTATTGCAACGAGTGCGATATTTCGATGTAGGTACTAACACTGTTATCAAGCAAGTGATGCAAGGAGTTGAAACATTACTCCAAAGTAGAAAATGTTAACAGTCCATGACTAAAGACAATTTGACTTTCACACAAAAATACTACTGACAGTAGTTATGACAGATGTAATGCCAAGTTTGGCCCATCTGACGATGCCGTGTGTGTTGTGCAGATAATCGAGCAGGGCCAGAAGGAGGCGACATCTGACAACATGATGGGAGAGATGGTACAGATGACGGTGCTCATCACACACCTCATCGTGGAGTTCGCCAAGTGTCTCCCCGGCTTCACCTCCCTGGACAAGGAGGATCAGATTGTCCTGCTGAAGGTGAGAGCAGTTCCTGGTAGTAGTGTTCCGATGATCGAAAATAGATCGAAAGAAGGATTAAAAATAGTTATCGATTGTAAAAACCAAGTTTTCGATTAATCGGAATTTTGTTGTTTTAGTATACAGTCAGGCCGCGGTAATCCGGTCCTCGTTAATCCGAATCCACCGACTTCCGAACGCTACTCACCGGGCACCAAATCATCTCCCTATATATTGTATATAATTGACACCTCGTTAGTCCGATGATTCAGTTTCCGCCTCCGAACGCTGGTCAGTCGGAACGGATTGGACTAATTAAGTTGTAAACAGCTGCGTTAATCCGAACGATTGAAGTTGACCGCGCTGCTGACTTGTCCACTCAAAGTGACACGTTGTTTGTTTAGCAAGGTAGCGACTCATCCCTTTGATCCCTTTATCATAAGTGATAGGGAAATTTCGACGAACACGCTGTTTTGGGAAAGACTTCAATCCAGAAATATATGCTCGGTACCGAATTAAAATTATAAACTATTTTTCGCAATGTTATTGAAAACAACGATTCTCGACACATGCTTCGGGCAGCGGGTCCACAGTAACATTGTCAAAGAGCAAAGTAACGATGTAAATTGAATAAACTAATAGGTTGCGATTTCTTGCTTAATATGTTCAAAATAGCATTATTTTACCCAAAACTTTCGCCTAAATCTAAAAGTTTTCGCTACAAGGAGGACGATATCCATTGCCGTGATATGATTGGCTGCCTTAGGTCAATGTCTGATTTTGACCAATCACGATATCTCTTATAGCAGACTGTAGCGAAAAAGCGTCATTAGAAACAAATTTTTATCCAATAAAATCGCTTCTTACAACTGTGAAAATACTCGGCAAGGGTTCAGTGATGTTGTTGATGTTCAGAGCTTTCGAATCGATACCCGACATCAAACGATTAAGCCCCCATGCTATTCATCTGACGCTCAAAACGGGTATTTTTTCCGTTGTTATGTCATGTTACCGAAAGCGGAAAGCCACTGATATCGGAAATAGGCAACCATACATATTATTTAAGAAATCTTTTTTATAATAATTTTCTGATGACGTAAAAATGAAAATATAAAAGAAATATAGTTGCGCCGAAAGCGATGAGGGCTCCTCCGCCCTAATACAATTTTCCGCCGCATAATACAATCTAGCCATTTGTATCTGACACGTACTTGTGAAAATATTAATGGCTACAGTTATTATGGATCATGTCACTGTGAGTAATGATAAATACTTCAGTCATTAACTGTAAATTCTTAAGGTCGAGGGTTAGATACAAAGAATTGTGTGGTATAGTTTGGATAATGATACTTGTTGCTTCGGAAACAGATGCTGACTTTAATATAACATCAACAGAATAAGCATACTGGTTTCAGGTTGCAAATTATTTATTTGTTTTAACTGAATAATATTTATAAGTTTTGAACTGAGAGTACTAAGCGTCCTGTAAGTTCAGATTAGTTTATAGAAATCTTCCATACTTGGATCTGGAGTTAAGAATATCATTTGCTGTCTCGGAAAAAAAAACCAAACAACCTGTTCAAACTGTCAAAAAAAACGACAATTTGGTAACCTTAGCTAAAAAAGATGCAAGATTCACACTGTGATTCACATGATATTAATCAAAACAAGTCTGTCTCTCAAAATAACCCAGAACAAACGTTTCCAGTGATCTAACTAATTACCCTGAAATTTGTTGATATACTTAAATTGTTACCGAGCTTGTGATGAATCTTGGAAATTCCACTCCACCAGCACAAACATCGAACCAGTCCAGTTGAATAGACGTCATTCACTGTGTTCACTTTGGTGGTTCAACTGGTGTAAATTTGACTTAAAATATTCATACAAGTTCCAGCTCAATGTTCATTGCCATAGCACTATAACCCAAATGAATTTGGTTGTGATTTCTTGAAATAAGACCAACAGAATTAAAAGCAACTATTTTTGTTTCAATAACAAGATTTTGCAATTTCATCAGCAAAATATAAGTCAGGTGCTAGAATATATTAAATCTGGTGAGAAATATTGCTTCAAAGTACCCGTCCACAAAGTATTTTATATGCCTAATAAAACGCCAAAATAAAATGTCAGGACTATTTACTGTTTCTACGGTTACAGGTCGGCAAAACCACATTTAAAAATCAGATATCCAAAATTGACTCCTAATGACACTTCTCGATTCCTCCGACGCATAACGATCTGTAACTATTCCTCAGTTTGCAATTCTCCGGTAGAACAGCCTTGTTCCCAGTCAATCTAAAATCATCCAGTACACTAAATTTATTAGCCGTCCATATCCCTACACTCTTTATCAAACCACTTAGCCACTGATCCACAGCTAGACCTGCTACCACGGCGATAGACCACACGATACAGCACCATTCTGCATCACCACCTGTGTGCTGTGTGCACCTCCACAGCAGAGTCAACTCTTTCCTGCAGTATACTAGTGAACTTATCAACATCAAGGGATGTAAGAGACTCAGCAATAATACGCATATATTCGTCACATTTGTCCTTTCTCCACACAAACTTAGGAACATCATAAACACATTTCACATTCACTTCATCATGCTCAAATGATACCTTTACACGCCTAACATTAAAAGTAGTTATGATAGGAAAATCGTCAGACTGGGGGGGTGTCAAGCGATGTCAAAGTCTGTATCACGATGGACAAGTTACATGAACACTATACATAGTCAACAAGGCTTGCGCCCGTTTTCCTTAAAACATGCATATGCCCCATGTTAGATCACCTGTGAATTAAACTGCACAAGACCGAATTGTTAGCAAAGCGTATTACTCCTTGGGCATTGCAAAGCCGGCGAGTGGGCAGTGTTGAGCGCTTTTTACTAGTGTTTCATTCCAGCTAGACCAGGGTTACCCCTTAGACCACAGTTACAACTTTTACCATGACCAGGTACGCCCATTCATTAACAATCTTTAAAAGCTGCCTCAAGACATACCCCTTACAAAGATTGAATTACAATGAAGATATAAAACCTCTACTGCAGTGTATTATAACTGTGTGTAAGCTAGCTCGTCATTGTCAATTGAAATTGACATTGTCTCCCATATCTGCACGTGGTCCCGCGCTTTGCAGTGGTAGTAGCTTTATAGGAGATATGTTGTTCTCCTGCGTGAGCGCTCATCTGATAGTGAACTACCTGAAGGAAGTCTGTATCATAAATTGTAAAATGTGTAATGTGACTAACAAATTGCCTGCTTTTAAATTTATTGCTATGACTTTTTCTGTTTTAAATGACACTGTAATGAATATATAGGTTTTTGAAATAAAACACATTTTGACTGTGTACTTACAATGTCTATTAATGCAGACTTGTTTTCGTCACTATATGGCTGGAATAATGCCGATGTGACGGAAAGCCCAACTCAACTCAACTTATAGGAGATATCATAAGGGGAAAATTAAGTAGGCAAAGTGGCTTCAAGGAATCCCATGCACATGTTGAGATGTAGATATAGATGTAGATGTCATGAACATGTGACTGAATACTTACGTATTAGTTTTCCATTACTATCCGTGCTGTCCGCGGTAAATAAGCGTGTACAACATGCCTGCGTGTGTCGGGAATCGATAACAAACAGTAGCAGTACCTGTGAAGGAGCAGCCATAATCGTCTTCTCGCTTTCCTACAGACTGTTGCATGCCTTTGCACGGGTAATCTGCCGCGTCCCTAAATGTGTGAGAAACTTTTGAAACATTCGCAATGTATCCCTGGGCCGTCGGTGATATAAAGTACTGCCATATAGCTTGAATATTGCTTAGTGCGGCGTAAAACTAAACTCACTCAGTCACTCACTCTAACGCTGACGCAAAGTGAACTTGTGATTTCACAGCAATGAAGGTACTTCCAGTAGTTTGTATTAGTTTCTATTACACTGTTACACTCGGGCTGTTGCAAATGAATAGTGAATCGAGCAGGTATATATATACTGGAAATACACGTAACAGCTCGATGAAGGTCACATATGAAGTTTTCAAATCCATGCAAACTGCACAAGACAGAATTGATTGGCAAGCTGCGCGTTACCCTTCGGAATTGCAAAGCCGGGCGAGTGATGGGTGTGGACATAATTTTACTAGCCCCTTCCTTCAGCTAGACCACAGTTACCCCTTAGACCACAGCTACAAGCATTTACTATGACCCGCACGCTCATTCATTGACAATCTTTAAAAGCTGCCTAAAGACGCACCCCCACAAAAGATTGAATTACAATGAAGATATCCACACCTCTACTGCACTGTAAATGTCTTCTTGTTAAATACATGAAAGATTATATCTGTGTAATCGACAATAACACCACGTTGGCGCATATCAACGCTGGACAGCTTTTACGTCATTGTCAATTTGAAATTGACATCGTCTCCCATATCTACCGTGGACCACGCTTTGCTGTGGTAGTCTCTTTATAGGACATATCATGATGGGAAATTAAGCCCAGGCAAAGTGTAAGCCAAGGCTTCCCATGCACATGTTGATATGTAGATATAGATGTAGATGTTATGACTGCATACTTACCTATTACTTTTCAAGTGCTATCATGCTGACACGGTGAATAAATGTGCACAACCTGCCTCGTCTGTGTAGAATCGATAACAAACAGTGCGTTTGAAGGAGCCGGCTATAATCGTCCCCGCGCGCTTTTCTTCAGACTGTCGCATGCTTTCCACGGGTAATCTGCCGTGCCGTAAATGTCGATGAAACTTATGACACATTCGGCAATGTATCCCCTGGGCCGTCGGTGATATAAAGAAGTCCCTATTTTATTAAATCTATCAAAACTATGGGTTTTGAATATAAGTATTATCTATGATGACTGGTAATGCGTTGTTGGAAGACTGTTTGCGTGATTTTTAGCTTAGTGTGCCTTGAGTTCAGGGTCAGTTTGTTTGGCACTCTTTTTCTTTCATTCGAGCCCGCGTCTCAAATAGATTTTGAAGACAAGTTTTT